TGATCACAATGGGCTTGAAATGGTTCAATCTGAGCCATTTGGAAGTTGCCCTAATCAATGAAACCATGCCTTTTCTTGCCCTGGGAAATTCTTGTTCTTTTCCCACATGCTCATGAATGCCTGGATACATCTCTGTCCATGGGGATACACCAAAAGGAGCCTCCTGTGCACTCAGGGTGGTCAGTTCCATATGGGCTAGAACTCCTCACGCACACAAAAACCCAAAAGATTCTCAGCTGTGTGAATTCTCAGTCCCAAATGGCTTTGCACAGAAGTCCCCTGCAGCTGTGTTGGCACAAGCTAAATTATGTGGTGTTAGAGCCATGCATACCCGCAGAGCTGAGATAAGGCTTATTGCACCATCTTGGACAATTTAGAAAGTTTTTTTTAAAAAAGTGCATTTCTGAGATTGGTCGTAAAGCCCTGTAAATTGAAACAATTTTATAACATCTTGGGGGGGGGGGGGGTTTGTAAAAAGTTTTTTTAAAAAATGAATACCTATCCAAAACATTTGTAAAATGTTTGATATTTGTCCTACTTCTGTTTTAATAAGAGGAGGCTGATCCATCCTCTCCCAAGCATTCATGGGGTCCTTTTCCTTTCCTCCTTTTCAGCAGCCAAGTGTACCTCCTCGATGATGATCTAGCCATCTTAGTTCCTCTTGAGAGCTAGCCACAAACATTATTCATGCTCCAAGCATGTATAACCTGTGCAGGAGTCCATAAGGAAGACAACTATGGCTGGATCTCCATTGGGAAGGTGCCCTCTCTCTTCCTATTGAAGGAAATGGTTCAATGCCTCTGGCTGAGAGGGGAAGGAGGGAGAAGAGCTACTTTGATTTGATGAGACGTCATGCAGCTGTATGTCCAGAAAAGGATGGATCTTGACCATGGGTGCAATCTTGCTGTCCTCACTAGTTAAAAACTGATTAAATAATAAAGTACAAGGACTTTGACAAAATCTATATTGCATATACAAAAAGAGTTTTGTATTGTGGAAATGTTTGCCTTTGATAAGGAAATTCAGCTCAACTACTCCTATTAACAAAGGCCAAACAGAAACACACACTCAAGTTTTGTTTTGCAAAATGGGGTCTTCATGGCCCCCTGACATTGGTGTCAAAATTCCCATTCAGTTCATGGGATCGTGACTTCCAATGTCATCTGCAGTGTGGAATAAATAAAGGATATAATTCAGCCAAAGCTAAGCACACTTTGGTCCCATTCAGGGTCCAAGCAGTCTTTCTCCTGACTCCACCTAATATTGCTGTCATGCTTAAAAATACACTAAAATTCTGCTTCACTGACCCCAAGGTGAAGCTTTAATGTTGGCCAGATTGTTTTCTTAATCGAGCGGCAAATTGCAAATGCAATTTTTTTTAAAAAAAGCTGGCATGCATTTGACAAAATAACAAAACAAGCTCTCTAGAAAAAATATATGTAAGATTCATAATCTGGATCTAATCAGTACTTGTCTCTAGCTAGACAAGCACATCACATCATGTAGGAATTTCAAGGGCAGTATTCAGAGGTTTCAAGAAATCCCACCCCCATTGATCACCCTTGGTGATGGAGAAGAGGGGGATCTTACTGCACATGTCTGTGAAGGGCTATAATCCATAAATCTAGAAGGAAAAATTGGATTATTTACCACTACAATGCAGCTGTTGGAATCACCACTGCAACATTTAGTATAGTACAGTATAAGATATTGTAATGACAGCTTGCATTCACAACAAATACTGCATGGATACGGCACATCCTTGGATGTGACTTTTTCCAAACAAGATGAGAGATTGTTTACTATATCCTATATATCTTTATATATTATATTACTTTATTCTCCAGTTACATATAAATTTAAATATTAAATATCCAGTATTAAATCAAGGAAAATAGCACAAATATAGGGTCTGATTCTGTAAATCACACACTCACGCACGCACACGCACGCACACGCATACATCAAAGCCATGATTTTAAACTGGTGGAAGAAACTCATTTTTGTGGTTAAGAGTTTGTAGGATTGAGCCACTCCTCATTTAAAAACAGCTCTAAAACTACAAGTGTCTCTTGTTACCTTAGGTCTTCTGAAACGACAGGCTGAAAGCTAACCTATTAAAAAAGAGGGGTTTCCCCCCCCCCAGGTTGTTTTTTTTCCTGACATGGAGAAGCCATGAAAATACACAGGCAAAGTAGGAAAGTACCGTCCAAACCTACTAAGACATAAATTCAATGTGAAATAAAACTTTTGTCCACTTCTCGACTGGATGGAGTGGGATCCAAAGGCTGGAGGACTCAGGAAGGAAAGCGCAAGATTCTTTCGTTGGATATAGGTGATTTCTGCAATGGGTTATAGACCAGAGTCGATGAAGAGCCAATGAGCTGAAACACAGATGGCACTACTTACATTACCAGTGCTTATACTCTGGGATGAAGGATAGCTTGGAGAAAGAAATGGGTCACCTTGTGGACTGTGGCACTCCTCGCGTCGTTTTGTAAAAAGAAACTAAAGAACAAGTCATAGGCAAGTTTCGCGGTCCACACCTTTCCCTGAGTCAGCTTTCTTCTCTTGTTGGCTTTCGGTGCTGCATGAGGGAAAGAAAGAGAAGAAGAAAGGTCTTGCTGTACAAGACACATTATGAGCCACCAGGTTTGGGGAAAGGGTGGTGGCAGCGAGGTGGGGGAGAGGAATCCATCCATCAAACAATACCATTTGCATTAGCTTTTCATGCCACAAGGTACAAAACCAGGAAGCAAAGAAATGCATGGTTATGAAAAGCACCTGCCATCATCATAGAACAAAAAAAAAAAGAGGTAGGCCAAGAATGAAACAGAAGAACAGCTGAAGTAAGAAAAAATGTTACTGAGATACAAATCGACGAGCATGCAAGCGAAAATCACTGCGTCTTTAAATGGCAAATATTTTCTTTGCAAAGACCACTTGCCATGTAGGACACTTGCATCTTCTGATGCACAAACAAGAAGCTGAATAGTGGACTGATTAGAACGTGCACATCTGTGCCCTCCGATTGAAGTTGGATAGATGTGGATGTAGCCAGATACTATTTTATTTATTAAAAATATTTATACTCTGCCTTTCTCCAGAGACCAGAGCTAGCATCAAAACATTAAAACCAAGATACATTTTTTTACACAACATAATCTCAATAACCCACCACAGGTATAACATGCCATCTAGCTTAAGATCCATTAACGTGCTATTGGGGGGAAAAGGGAAACCTTAGGATAGGTTGGGTCTACCCTGCTTTTCCGTGGGTGGAAAAAAGGAGAATGGGCAAACTTGCCCAAGTTTCATCCCCATTGTTGCCCCATCCTGCCAGACTTTCAGTTGATAAAGGCCTCCACAAACTGTGGTACACATTTTGGTGAAGTCAAAAGGGACCCCTCCCCTTTCCTCTTGCACCAACAGAAAAAACTGGTAGGACCCAACCTATTGTTTGCAGAACTGGAATGTAGTAACAGCCATGACCATAGCCACAGGGGGCTCCTGGGGGCAATGCCTCCTCCTGAATGGGCCCATCCCCCTCCCCCCCATGACAGGACAGGGCTGCAGGCTGAGCAAGACCTGGAGTCATTCCTTCCCTGCTGCCCTCACGTGCCTGGAAGGAGGCACAAGTCAATTAGTATAAGTAAGGCATTTAAAGAGACATATGTCTCTTTGAATACCTTACTTTCAGTCACTGGTGCATGCTGCCACTACAGCACAACTCAGGAAGGGGAGGTATTTAAATTTTAAATACCTCCTCTTCTTTCCTTCTCTGAGTTGCTGCGGGTCAGCAGAAGGCGAGTCAGCCTTCTCTCGCTGGCATGGAAGGAAGGGGAGGCACACATAATTGGATCACCACTAATTAGATTAGTCACTAATCCAATTAGTTGTGATCTAACTAAACTTCCCGTTCCTGGTGTTTGCACCTCCACCAAAGATCTTCTGGCAACGGGCCTGGTAACAGCCCTCGTCCAGCACACTGCTCCAGAAGGCCAGAGCCACTGCTGTAAAGGTATAAATAAATCTACCTAGTGGATGGACATTTCATGCATCTGATGAAGTGAGCTCTAGCTCACAAAAGGTTGTGACAGAATATGTTTTGTCACTCTTTAAGCTGCCACTGGACTCCTGTTTTATTTTGCTGTAAAGGAGTGAATCTAGGTAGCAGCTGAATAAATGACTCTGAGAAAAGGTTCCAATAGGAGGAAACTCTGAAGAAATATTTCTTCCTAGCTAGTGAATATAAGCCCCAAATAAGTACACTGGACAGAAAGAATGCACAGATTTTACTGAGACCTTCAAGCACATCCCTTCCCAAACTCACAGACTGCCTCTGTGTGTGTGTGTGTGTGTGTGTGTGTAGGAAGTAAGAGTTGCACCTGGGCACAGTCCTCTCCCAAGAGAGAAATTGCTGCCTCTTAGCTCCCCAGTTGGTCTTGGTGCCTTCAAAACTCGCCCCCCCCCCGCCTTGTTAGACAACCAGGCTTTGACTCAGTTGACCATGCTTATCAACAGAAGAAATACAGAAAAGCATTGGAGGAGCAGCTCTTTGATGGTTGCAGCCTTTCTCATCTGATTGGACACAGGTCCCTGCCACACGAGGGAAGAAAGGGACGGCCAAAGTGCGGCTTTTAAAAGCCGCACCTAAATAGGCACGCGGCGGCGGGATCATACATGATCAGATGCCGGGGAGACGGGGAGAAAGCCACGGGAGTCTGCCCAACTGGCCATGCCGGAGCATGCGGCGTTCGGCAAGGAGCCGGGGATGCGCCGGCGGAAGAACGCACCGGCGATCCCACGGCTGGCGTTGCTGCAGCCTTTCAGAAAGAACCACCTCGGTAGGTGGTTCTTTTTTGCTGCAGGTTATCATCAGAAGGGCCGGATCGGGGACGGGCACGCAACGCTTCCCAGATGTTGCGGTGGGATTGTGCCCGTTTGCTCTGCCCCCGATCCATCCCTCTCCTGGCCCAAATCCACTCGTGTGACCGGGGCCACAGATAGCTTCCATCAGGGAAGCAGAATCAACAGATTGGGATTTGTCTTCTGGGGTGCCTCACAGCTCCATTCTCTCACCCACCCATGCTCTTCAATACTTATGTGAGGCCACTGAATGAGATTGTCTGGAGCTTTGAATTTGGATGTCATCAATATGGAGATGACACCCAGCTCTATGTTTCTTTAGCTAAATCTCTGCAAGCATTCGTCTGAGCTGTGACCCAGTGCTTTCATTGTGCAGTCAAATGGCTAAGGCAGAACAAACTGAAGCTGAATTCAGACAAGACCAAAGTTGGTTGGGAAGGCTGATGCTATGGAGGAACTGGCTCCCCTTATCATGAATGGAGTAGAGTTGGCATTCCCCAAGCAGGTTAAGAACTTGGGGATGCTCATGGACCCAGCCTTGCTGTTTGAAAAGCAGGTTGCTATAAGGGCCAAGAGTGTCTTCTGTCAGCTGCATTTAGTTTGCTAGCTCTTTCCTTTCTTAGACTCAGCCAACCTGGTCATCTTAATCCATGCATTCATAACACCAAGGCTGGGTTACTGTAATACTGGGCAACTGCAGCTTCTGGTTCTGCAGTTGTGGTTCTCTAGCTGCCACCCCCCCCCCCCGTAAAACCTGGCTTCTACTAGACCTCATTCAATTTGAATAGTGCTGCCCTCCTTATGGAATTTAGCTAATCTTGTGATCAGTTCTTGAAATCACTTCTCAAATAGCCAAAGTGAAGTCACTGAAACCATGCACCTGACTGTACAAACGTAGAGACAGGATGAACGTGCAAGCAATGCCATTTCCCCCTTTTCTTCTAGACAGCATAAAGTACAACCTGACACCAGGCCCACTCAACAACAACCAGTCTATTAAACAATGCCTGGCATTCAATACAGGATGCAGACATGTGCCTGAAACAACATTTTTCCCATGACTCCCTTCTGTTTCTTTTTTTTTTTGAGATCCATCCTGATGAAGAGCTCTGGAAAATTCAAAAGCTTGTGCAATGATTTATGTTATTTTGGTTGGTCCTCATAAAAGGCATTGCATGGCTTTTTGCTTTAAGATCAGTGCTGGGTTTTGCCCCACTGCCAGGAACAGCAAAGGCCTCCAAGATCTGCCCTTCTTTCTACCTACGAATTAGGTAGTGCATACAGCCAGTTTCTTCACTGAGACAAATAGAATGGGGTGTGTGGAGTGACAACACTGGATGAATTTATTTGTTTATTTGATTCTATTTGTATCCTGCCCTCCCTGCAAGCGGGCTCAGGGCGGGTTCCATAATAAAATTCATAATATAGCAATATAACAAATCAACAATTAAAATATATCTAAAAACCTATCTAGAAACAGCAATCAATAAAAGACCGGTGCCTCAACAGATCTCAGCAAGAAGCAGTTGGTTCCCAGGTGGCCATTCGGATTTGAAGTCACTGGAGGGGAGGTCAATAGCGGGTGGGCGCATGTGGCCTCAACTGAAAACTTGATGGAAGAGCTTTGTCTTGCAGGCCCTGCGGACCTGTAACAGGTCCCGCAGGGCCTTAATTTCTAACGGGAACTCATTCTACCAGGTAGGGGCAGGGCCAAAAAAGCCAGGGCCGAAAATTCCCAGTCCTCAATAGTAGCATCTCTACTTCTGTAGCAAGCCAGGTTGGGTCCACTTCAGCCTAGCCTCACCCTTTTCAAACTACACGGCCAGTTCTAATTTTTTAAAATTATGCTGTACCTATTTAAATGTGAAGACACCAAAATGGAAATATAACGTCATACACTTAGCATTTACAACAAGGTGTTATTTATTATGGAAGCTAGGAGGAGGCTTTCTAAAAGGAATTTGAAACGAAGCTCCAGTTTCTACATTTAACTGGGCGGCAGTGGTGCCAAGCCCTCACACCACCAGTGTGAAGCAGGCTACAGTTTGTGTGATTAGCAGAAGGAACGATCATATGAACTAGGAGGTCATGTGGTACCATCCCAACTAAAGGGAAGGGAGGTGACATCTGTTTGATTGTGGGCCGATCATCTTGTTTATGCTGCTTAGGAAGAGGAAGAACATTAAAGAAGCAACATGCCATTTTTGGGGTGACAAAATACTAGAAATCAAGTAGAGGGGTTTCATTTCAGTCAATGCTTGGAAGTCAAACATTGCGGATTTCTTTTTTTATAAGGTAACATTTTCTCAGTGCTGGTTACTGTTTTGTTCAAAACTTTGGCTGAATTGCAACATTATGCTTCCTTCTTATGTAAGATCTCAAAGAACCAACACAGGAACCTTCTGGACTCACTTTTGATATAGTTCCATTAAATTTTGTCTCCCCAAAATTTACACAATATTAGCAAATGTTTCCAAAAAAAAACACCATTTAGTAGTGGGAAAAGCAATCAAGGCAGAGATTTGGGGACAGGGTCTTACCTTTGGGGAATCAGCTTCTAGAGAGATTAGGAAGGGGAGCTTATGGTAGAAATGTGATAATGGAACAATTAAGTAGAAAACAATGTTAATTCAAAATGAACGGCACTGGGGGAAAACAGCTGTTAAACTATCACATTTATACTCAGTTAGCAATGATACCCTAAATAGAGTTATAGCCTTCTGTCCATTGAAGTCACTGGGCTTAGAAGGGTGTAGCTCTGCAAGGGTAACAACTGGGTTATCACAATAAAAATGGTCCTCTGGTTTTGCAAATGATCAGTTCCTGCATAGGCACAGCTTTAACCAAGAAGAGGATGCCTCTTCACATTCCCAATGATCCCTCTAGCTTTTTCTCTCGCCCAAGCACAAAGTACCCAGAGCTATGTTTGGCTGGGGAAGAGAGAATCAGCTGCTATCATCCATTAAGCCAACTGCACTTAGGCAACTATGGCCACAGAAGGTATGGATTACTCTGTTAATGCTTATTTGGTTCTCCTAAATTGTACTTCTGTGTTGTGAGAAATTCAGCAAACCTTTATTTTTAAGGGGCCAGCAGTAATGTACCCATGATCATTTTGATATAACTATGATTACCAATACATGCAACTCAGGACAATGGAACCCCCAGGGCTTAACAGAGATATCGGGTTCTGATCTCACTACACATGTTAATCACTTAGTTCTCTCTTACACTCGGAATTAAACTTTGTTGGTCTTAAAGGTGCCATTGGATTCAAACTTAGTTCTCACATCTGTCTGTTGACTCTTTTATTTTGCTAGTTTGCCGTTATTCACAGGTCTTACCAAATGCTTTAATCCCATTTTAGCTACACTCATCGCTCAGTTACTTATACATTTAGACTCTAATTAGCCCTTCCTAGCAACTAACCCCCCTACCTATATGTAATGGTTGATGAAGTCTTGTTTCAGTGTATCTGAAGTGTGCAAAATTAAACTTTGTTGGTCTTAAAGGTGCTACTGGACTCAAACTTTGTTCCAATACACGCAACTTACTTTGCACACCTGAATGGAACATATCAGATCATTATCAGCCAATAGAACATGGCTTATATACCAACTACTAATCTGCATCATTATAGCCTTCTGACCTATCTCCAGTAGTTTAGTTAGCCTTTAAAAAGGTAACAACAGCAGCAACAATTCAATAGAAGTGTCTGACAACCTTAAGACCTATTAAATCAGTTTCAAAATAGAATAAATGATGACCAGAATCTTGTGAGTCAGTATCATGAGGTCTCAGTAATCATGAGGTCTACTGCGATCCTGGGTGGCCCCATAGCGTGCATTTTTGTTCCAAATGGGAGGGTCACCCATGACTATTAGATGTACGATTAATTTATTTTTTATTTACATTTCTATCCCGCCCTCCCCGGAGGCTCAGGGTGGCAAACTAACCGTGTAAAAAAGTAATAGAAGTGGTAAGGAAGCATCTCCCATACTAGGGATTGTAGGATGTGTTCTTCCCCACAGGTTTACAATAAAAAATGATACAAGGCCGCTAGGGCTGCAGTCACACGCACTAAATAATCCACTTTCAATGCACTTTCAATGCACTTTCCAACTGGATTTTGCCAGTTCACACAGTAAAACCCAGTTGGAAAGTGCATTGAAAGTGGAATATTTATTGTGTGTGACGGCAGCCTAGGAAAGGCAAGGGACAAATTCATGATGCACTTGAAATGCCCATTAGATCACATGACTGTTCTTTCACCTTTATCTACAGCCTATTGTTGGTAAAGTTGCTTCTATGTGACCACTTCTGTACAAGGTAGGCATGAAAATCTACCAAGGGGTCTTACTTACTCATGACAGTTCTTGTTAGTCCAAACAGACTAACAGGATCTGTCTGAGCAGCTCAGCAACTGTGACATAAAACACAGCACTGTTAGTGCCACACACGAGCCCACCTGCACTAGCAATCGTTGCTGGAGAAGCAATCACCCACAAGCATCTAAAGCCCCTGGCCAGGTCTTGTTCTGTTGTTCACACATCCCTCTCCTTTACAGTCCCCAGGGTTACAGCTGAGCTTTGTGGAAAGCAGAGTTTGTGCAGGTAGGCTACTGCAGTATTTCCAAAGATCCGAAGATCCTAGGTCTTTGAGGACCTGGCTGTTGGTACAGTGGCTATGAAAAACATCATATAACTCTCTTCTTATTCACCGATGCCACTTGGTTATGTTGCTGGGGTTTGCAGTATGTGTCTACAAGTATCTATAAGGTTCTGATTACCGGAGTTCTTCAAGGCATAAATGTATCAGTAGAGCACTGTATGTGTGTGTATTAGGTGGGATCCAACCAGCTTTCCCACTAGTGAAAGAGGGAGGAGAGTGTCCTCTTTGACCACCAAGAAGGCTATGCTGGGGTTATAGGGACTTGCGTGGACAAAAAAGGCATGTGCAATGGGGGCTGGAGAAATTATGGGAACCGGGAGAAGCTTAGCGAGAAAGCTGGCTGGACCCAACCCATTTTATAAATAACATAGCAAGAACTTGATCTGAAACAAACTCTTCCTAAAGTAGATGGTATATAAGAGAATTATTGTTTTAAAAAATATTAAACCTTTTAGAAGGAAAGCTGGACTCCTTATCCTTGTTATTTTCTGATGCTATCAGTAGTGTCTTCCACACAGCTGTTTTTGCCATTTCATCAGAAATATTGATTACGGATGGGTCATCTCTAAAACAAAATGAGCACACACACACACAGAAAGAGAGAGCAATCAAGCTTTCTTGTCTGCAGTCCTGGGCATTCTACAGATTCAAAGGAACACACAAACCTGCTTTCAAGTCCCCATGTATCAGTGTATATACAGTACAAGCTTTGTTATCCAGTACTCGATCATCCAGAGTGCCCTGTAAACCAGTCTCACCCAGGAAGCAAGGTCTTCAATTGATAAGTTTATTTCATTTTATTCTTTAATTCTCTTTAATAAAACCCATTTCATTAATCATGGCCTGGTTCATTTTGAGAGTTATACTGAGAGGAAAATCCCCGTAAACATAGGTGAAGGGTCCTGCTTGATTACCCCCTCTCGCATTGGTTAGGTTTCCTGGCTAATTCCCCAAAAACCTTAGGAGACCCTCACAACCCTTTAGGGTAACACAGTATACATAAAGTAGAAGCTTCGTTGTCCAGTACTCAGTCATCCAGAATGTCCAGTTAACCAGCCTCACCCAGGAAGCAAGGTCTTCCTTCTCAGCCACTGTGTCTTTGGGTTCACACCCACCCAACTCCTGCCTCTCCAGCTGGCCAGCTTGAAGCCTCCGGCTGTTGTTGAACTTCTGTCAGCAGGCACTGCCAGCTGATGTCATCCTCGGGGGCTGCTTAGCCTGGGCAGCTGACCTGCTTGTCTGCCTGCTCTGCAGGATGCCTTTGGGGGGGAGTCCCACCAGGTGTGGAGCTTGTGTTGCCACGGTGCTTGCAAGAGGGTGGGTTGGATCACTGCAAATACCTCTGGCTAGGGGTGCCAAGGCAAAGCAATGAGCTTGAGTGTCTGACATTTTATTAACCTATACCACGTGAATGTTGGATATCAAAGCCTTTACTGTAGTCAGAATTACTTATCCCCCTAGAAACAGTGTAACATTGACGCTCTCCTTTCCACAGGGCTCTTGGCAGCCTAAACTCCCATTCCATAGTTTTATGTGTATTCCAATGCACACCCCAGTTCCTGCAGAAGAGAACTTCCTATTGATTCCATGGAATGGGCATCTGAACATGTACATCTTATTTCATGAGGAAACCTTCTCCTGGCATTTAAGTGAGGGGTCAAAAAACACCTCCCCTGAGCTTTTGTGGGCCACTTTGTCAGATGCATGAAGTGAACTCTCAGTCAGCAAGATTTACATTCGCAGGAGGGGAGGAAATAAAAGGAACAAGAGAACAAGAGACAGCAGAACCAGGAGGAGAATGAAAAACAAAGTGAAAGGAACCAAGCAATGAAATCTGCTTAAAATGCACAGATGCTGATCTCAACCTCATTCCCTTTAAGAGTCTGCTCTCTGAGCACCATGCTCTGGTCCCCAAGGGTCCAGTGGGGAACTCACAACTCATATCAGAGACCTCATAGGAACCCGGACATGAGCGGAGTTCTTTGTAATATATAGTTAGGCCCCAAGAGACAGAGGAACTCACAGTCACTCTGTGAGCTTCACAGGGGAGTGGGGAGCTGACAGGCTAACTGTTGCACCACACCTAGGTTTTCATTTGAATTTCAATGGAGAAGCAAAAAGAGTCAGTCTCAGTGGTTTACCTGTAATGTCCTTCTAGTGGTAACTGGACAGTACCTTCCTCCTCCATTGCCAACATACTTTGCTCCTCCTAGGAGAAAACAATTTAGAGATGAGCAAAAAAAGGTCTCACTGTAACTGTCTGCCTGCATTTGCAGATTCAATCACCAAAAGAGAAACAAACAAACAGCATTTCTTCATTTCTCTTTCCAAATTGTTTTTAACAAGGTGTCAACTCACTGGCCTTTCTCGTTAACAGCTCTTTCTTAAAGTGATGTGGCAGGTGCCAAAAATTAGGAAACTGTATTTAAAAGGACAACTCTGACAAAAACTAATTTTCACTGCTGAAAATAGTTCTTTGCGAGAAAGACGAGAATGCCATGAAATGTGTTACTTGTTTGGGGCACAGTGGTCTTGTGCCGCTCTCATTCAATGACAACGGGGCTCACAGAAGGGAACTCTCGGTGGGTTGATGGTAGGTGATAATTATGACTTCTTTAGGGAGGGGTAGTATAAGCAGCCACAAATGCAGGCAGATATTGCATATGCAGGCTTAGACATACCCAATGGGTTATTCATGATGTTTTACATGGGATCCTTCACATTGTCAGGTTGTTTAAAATGCAAACAGATAAAGAGCAAACACAGCAGGATCTTCCATTGCAACATGAGTTCAACTTTTGCAACAGGCAGGACAAAGACGCACACCGGCATTCAGTTGTGTCTCTCCCCTCATGCATCAAGGAAGCCTTTAATCTTTCATGTTTTAAAAAGAAGAAGAGTTGGTTTTTACACCCTGCTTTTCTCTACCTTAAGGAGTCTCAAAGTGGCTTACAATCGCCTTCCCTTCCCCTGTCCACAACTGGCACCTTGTGAGGTAGGAGGAACTGAGAGAGTTCTGAGAGAACTGTGACTGGCCCAAAGTCACCCACCAGGTGTCGTGTGGAGGACTGGGGAATCAAACCGGGCTCTCCAGATTAGAATCCGCCACTCTTAACCACTACTCTTAACCACTTAACCATGCTGAGTGGCTCAGAAATGGGGGAAGGAATATACTGTGTGGCAAAGAACCCCTGGACATCAGCTCCGATAGTTTGAAAGCCTTTAATATTTCAGAAAAAAACAGAGACAGTGGCCGCATCTACACAGAAGTAGCAACAGCAAGTGAGACAAGAATGGTCAGAGACAGTGGCCACATCTACACAGAAGTGTGGAAACTCACTCCTGCTACAGTAGCAACAGCAAGTGAGACAAGAATGGTGATTCACACACACCTGTTCCCGCTCTGCTAGCTACTGTACCCTCCTCACCCCACACCTCCTCTTTCTCCTCCACTGCACCTATGCAAAAGCACAGGCAGAACAGCAATTCTGAATGCCCTCTGCAACCCAGAAACTTCTCTTTCCAAAAACTATTGAGCTGTGTTGTGACAGTACACTGCAGCTCAGCTAGAAAAGGACAAAAGCCCTATAAACAAGTAAGGGGGGGGGGGAATAGCACAAGGCATCAAGCTGCCTCATGCCACTTGGAAAGCAGCCTCCTTCCCTGTTGTGGCTGTGGAAGTTTCCCATGGTTTCCCTTTCAAACATAAGAAAATAAGGTTTTTATTATCTCCAGATTAAAAGAGGGAACAAAATCATCTGGATGCTCCCATTTATTGTGGATGCTTCCCACGATGCACGTGGGCAAAAACTCCCCTGGCTGTGCAAACAGCCAGAGAAAGAAATGGTACAGCCTGAGAGACTTTTAATACGGCATCTGTTTCCATGTCTCTAGTGGCCATTGGTGGGAGCATGGCCACTCATGTGAAGCCATTTGTCATAAGCAGGTCACCATTTTTGAGACCATCCCTGGCATTAAAGGTTACCGCAAGGTTCAATAGGAGGACTGAGGGCAGACCTTGTTCCCTACATCAACAAGGAAGGTGCCTCATAGAAAAGAATTGTTCCCAATATTGAAGACAGCCTTGCAGAATGAAATTCTTGATCCAGTCAAATTACTATTTCTTGAAAGCCTGTCAGCTTCATTTCCATTTGTAGGCACAGAGGCCCACGTTCGTTTTTAAAGCCGGCAGAATTATGTCTCTCCAATTGCTTTCCAGTGGCTCCATCTCTGATTTTTTTTTCATTCCTAGTTAATTTTGTCATGTTCCAGGCTTCACAGCTTTCCCAGGATTTTGACAGCTGAACAGGTTTAATAATAGCCTCAAATATTTAGCAATGCCATAACATGTAAAAATAACCCCTAAAAAAATAATAAAGTGACTGAAAATAAAAAAGATGCAAGTAAAAATCGTATTTCCCTTAGTTTTACTGTCTGTCACTATTCAAGGAGAAATAGCCAATGGAGCGAAAGAAGAAACATGGGATCAAGAGCAATAGAATCCCGTGGCAACCACAAGGGAAAAACCCGTGCCTTGCTTTTATTGTTCTGTATTGCCATAAGCAGAACGCAGCACTCAGGACATTGTGTGGGAGCACAGCATACCAATGAGTGCAGATTCCCCCTATTTCCTTTATTCCCTCCCCTTCCAAAAGAGGTAGAAGGAAAATATTCATTCATCTACTATATATCCCGCTTTTTTCGGGGGGGGGGGGCAAAGCAGCTTACAACATTCCCCCCTCCTCCATTTTATCCTCACAAAAACCCTGTGAAGTATGTTATTTTTTGTTTAATTTAAGTATTTAGACCCTGCTTTCCTCCTCAGCGAGACCCAAAATGGCTGTTTAATTCTATTTTCCTCCATTTTGCCCTCACAAGAACCCCGTGAAGGTAGACTGGGCTGAGAAACTGTAGTGTATCCAGCCCTGACATGGCTGGGCATGTCCGGACTTGTCCAGGGACAGGTCCTCAAGCTTCGCGCCTAAAGACAATGTGCCAGGAGGATCCTAGCCCGCCCTATCAGAGGGCTAGGTCCCAGACCGTGAGGCCAATAGGTCTCTCGGTCACTGTAAATAGCCTATCGGGAAGTGGGGTGTGTGTTGTGGTGGTGGGTTTCTGAGGGAATATAAGCTGGCCTGCGAGCCGGCCAAAGCGTCTTGTTCCTGACTGAATAAAGTATGCTTTGCTGAAATCACTCTCCGTCTGCATACTTTTCAGAAACAGTGACTGGCACACCCAGCAAGCTTTCGTGGCAGAGTGGAGGTCTGCACCCAGGTTCCCTGGATCGCAGTCCAACACTATTCACTACTGTAGAAGTGGGCAATCTTGGGATATGCTCACACTTAACAACCTTAATACTGGAGAGGCTGTGCACATCCTTGATATCCCAAGCCTATGCTGTACTATGCCTAGGAAAGGACCAGGGCCGCTAATGACTGCATGGCTCTTAGAAGATGACTGGACTGTGCTGTTTATGACTTAATATGTCCCATTACTTTAGATCCTGATGCAACTCTGGTCACATGCAACAACTAGTTGCAGCAGTGGCCAAACTGTGGCTTGGGAGCTGCACGTGGCTCTTTCATACATATTGTGTGGCTCCTGGCAGGGCAGCTGGGGAAGCGAAGGGAAGGCATGCCTTCCTGATTGGTCTTCCCTTCCCCAGCCAGTGCTCCCCTCCCTGGGTAGGCTTGAGATTGGGGGGGGGGGGAGCAGAGAAAGAAAGCAACTTTAGATGTGTTCTTAAAGACACTAACCCCCCAGCTTGCAAAAGGCATTTGTCTCTTTAAACCCCTTCTCCAAGCAAGCCGGTGGGGGGTTCTTGGAAGACGCATTTAAAGTTAAAGTTGCTTTCTTTCCACCTCTCCCTCCCTCCCCCATCTATTTCCTTTTCCCCTCTTTCCAATCTTTCCCTCTTCCCCCCTCTTTCTCTCTCTCTCTCTCTCTCTCTCCACCCTCCTTCCCCATCTAAAGTTAAATGTCATTATCAATACCTGTTTTTAACCCCTTTTGTTTTTTATTTTTGGCAGTCTCATTTAATGTTAATAAAAAGCAAATTTGCATATTTTCCAATAAAAATGTGTGGGTTATATTTGTTCATGTCTTATGGCTCTCAAACATCTGACATTTATTCTATGTGGCTCTTACGTTAAGCAAGTTTGGCCACCCCTGTGGCTCCATCTGGAATCTCCATTCCATGCATAGGAAAAGATAATTAAAAGATATAATTACTCCATTCAAAAGTGCCCAAGTGAACATCACCTGAGTGTGTAAATGGCTGTTTCTGCATGCAGATCACCTTTGTGGGAAATGGTGCATGTGTTTACAGAACAGGTAGTCTTTTACAATACCTAACAATAATATTTGAGGTTCTTTGAAGGTTACTTCACCCCCCCAAAAAAAAAACCCTAGGCAGTCAATTTTGCTATAATGCAACCAGATGTTGTCTAAACAGTTTGAATCAAAAAGAAAAGGAGTGAGGAAAAGAAAAGAAATCCAGGCCTACCTCTTTTTCAGCATCTTCCAGCTTCTTTTTCTTGCTTTCTGGCATCAAATCATCCAACCAGCTTAGTTCTCGTTTGGTAAAAAATAAATCCATGAGTTTTCTGACGAATACGAGTGCTAAAACCTAGTCAAAATATAATATGGTATGAATTTTTTGGCAGCTATAAATAATTTTTGCTCTTAAAAGAACCAAACTAAAGCCTGTAGTCCAATATTCACAGGTATTATTCTCCATGATTGTGTAGACATGAACGGATGTATGTATGCATAATAGAACTCAACTTGCAAATAAATTTACAGTATATTTGTGAGCATGAGAGTGAAATTCTTAACATTATATGGAAACCAATGGAGGTGGGAGATGGTGGTGGTGGGACTCTGAATGTGATCCACGGGGTAAATGGCATGTTAGGATCACTGCATGAAGTTGCCTCCATGTTGAAGTATTTCTAGCAGAGGTCATTTCAGGGGGGATCGCGGGGGATCGCAGTTCCCCCGGGTGAGGTACGGGGGCGGGGCACATGACGAAGCCCCACCCCCTGCTTCCAGCCGCCCCACTTCCGTCCCTCATTCAGCCAGGAGGAGGCAGGAGAAGAGGGAAAGTAAGTTGCTTCCTCCCTGCCTCTCCCCACCCCTGCCTGCCTGGGGTCAAGGAGGGCCTTCGCGGGGCTTCCTTGCACTCCCGCCGGCCTTGCAGGTCCAACGCCAGGCCCCTCATGGGGCTCGGCAGTGAAGCTGCAAGGCCGGCGGCGGCCAGGACCATTGGGGGCGGGGTGTGTGGCCTTATGACACACTTCCGGTGATGTCAGGGGGTGTGGCATATGCTAATGAGTTCCCCTAGCTCTTTTTCTACGAAACAACCCCTGATTTCTAGTAGCCAATCTTGTGGGAATCAGTCCTGAGCAAGGATAGGTGGATGTTCCCAACAGAAAGCAGGAGGCAATGTGTTGCATTTACTGGATGTTTTCCACAGATGGAATGGATTTCTGTCTACGGAGCACAGCTTCCCCACCTTCCACTTCCTACTGACATCCAAAATGGCCCCCCGTGGTGCTCCTGGGGGACAGGAGATCACCAGCAACACAAGGAGGGAGGAGTCAAAGAGCTGCCACTGGGAGAAGGGGAATCAGTGAAAATTGCAACCTCCTTAAGCAGAAATTCTCCTGTGAATCCAAGCAGGTGGTTCCACTCAGTTGTATTACCCCCATCCATTGAAAAAGGGCAGCTAATTGCAAGTTTGTAATTCCCTTGTTATTAATAATAATAGTCTAGAGTATGTAGGTCCATACCATCATAGGAAACACTATAGCAGCTCTCGAAACTTTGATAACCCACAGCAACACAAGGCAGCTCAGCTGGATTACTGTGAAGAGATGAACTTTCCGAAGAGGAACGTGCCTCAGATAGATGAAATCTGGCTGGTGTTTGGCAGGCATCCAGAATAACTTGATTCTGTCAAAGAGCTGCCACAGGGAAAGAACATGGTTCAGTTTTCAGCACTGAAATGGGGTCATTGCTTGACAGATCATTACGCAACGAGATCTTAAAAAGAGCAAGAACAATGTCTCTAAAAGGGAGCGGGGTCATCAATATACAAAATCAACAATAATTAATATAAACTCTTAGTGACCATCCCAGCATTCCTTCCAAGAGAGGACTATGATTTTCTGTTTCCACAAAAAGCGAAACATTCGCCGATATAAATATTTTGAAGGGGCAGTATCCGGAATAGAGAGAACAGAGAATAGACGTGTGGGGAAAACAGTTATTTTATCCCACCTTTCTGCCCTACAAAATGCACATTTACAGTGGGATAGAATATAGGTGGGATAGATAAATATGTAGCAGACCTAAGGGTCACATTTTCTACAGATTTAAAAGTATCGTAGCCAATGTTCCCTCTAAGCTGTGGAGTCTTGTGTGCCAAAATTCTACGTTGTGAGCTACTGGCATTAAAGTTGTGAGCAAGCGATTTGGCTACTGCATAAATTACTTTGCTCTGGAGCCATCCCTCCTGAGCTAAGACAAAAATGTGTGAGCAGGAGGCTAAACAACTGTGAGCTAGCTCACACTAACTCAGCTTAGATGGAACACTGATCGTAGCCAGTCATTCAGCCAAGTGCACCTTAAGTCAAATCTAAAGATTGTGCCACACTCGATAAGGCCTGTGATGCTTCCCTATAACTTGTTTTGGTTTGGTTCCTCACCTACTGAACTTGGAAATGAGCAGGTCACAGGGATAGCAGATGGGATTGTGGCCCTAATTCTACAACAGAACCAACAGCAGAGTCCTTTTCCCTTCTATCTAGGCACATCAGAGAGGCTTGCTGCTGGTGTAAATTGTGTGCCCGATGCTCCAAGCTGGCCCCATAGTAAACCCCCTTTAGAATGTTCTGTTTCCATTTCTAAGCAAAGTAAAATGTAAGCAATAGTAACATAAAGAGGTAACCAAAGGACCAAAACAGTTCACATACTCTACTTTACCTGAATTCCTTTGAGAGAAGAGGCACCCATATAAAGGAATACACCATAAAGCACTGGCATGGGAATAAACTGTTGGAAGGAAAAGGGAAAAGTAAAAACTGATTTTCAGGGGATGATAGATTATAGCAGGCAAAAAAGTGCTTGATCGATGTCAGCGACTACCAGGAATTCCCACTGATCTGGCACTGTGATTTAAGGCTTTCTTTGGATGGTGTATTGTCACTGATGCACTTCCACTCATCAGGGATGTTAGATGTCCTGCAACTGCTAGGCCAGAGTGTCCTCAGACTTTTTGTACTCCAGCTCTGTCTTGCTAAAGTCAAATGAGCATCAATATACCACTACCCCCAATCCAAAATCAACCGTGTGTTCCACCTGTTAGTATAGTTGGTGATGCATATCCCACTGCTGTACATTTGGAGCTATAGATTAGGACACTAGAAGAAAAACAGAAAAGTGCAAGTGGGGACCTGAGAGACATGTGTGAGTGGGGAGAATCCTATCCTCTTTGCATCTCTTCCCCATGATGGGCTGCCCACTCTCTGGCCAGCCTGCCTGCAGAGCCACCACCAACGGCTACCTGGCTCACATGACAGGGGGGCAGCTCCTGCTCCTTCTACCCCCCCCCCCATCTGCAGTGCCACTGCCTCTGCCTGCCTGGCACATGCAGGTGGTGTCTCCTACGTTTCCTCCTTCCTCCTGCCTGATTGGCACATGCAGCAGTGCCTCTGGCTCTCTCTCTCTTGCCTGCCCAATTTAGGTGGTGGCAGCAGCTCCTGCTGTTTTCTCTTGCCTGCCCCACAACCAACTCGAAGGTGATATTCCATTATGCTGTCTGCACAAGTGCAGTCAATGTTCCTCTCTTTGAGTAGGAATGTAGCCCACCTCCATATGGGGGGGATTTTCACATTTTCCTGTAAACCCAAGTGGTCCCCCAGGTCTGCAGAAGAACACCCCCTAACTGAACCTGCCCCAATCTTTGGGTTTATTGATCTGCATGGGGGGGCCAAGTTCAAAGCAACAGCTTTTCTTGGGCTCCTCTTTCTTTAGGTCAATGTGTGGGAGGACAGTAGGACATCCCTAAAAAGCAATGTGAATTTAGAAGGATTCTCTGCCTTTTGTCTTCCTCTGAAGTTTGACTATCTTGTTGCCATGTGTTTCTGCACTGCCAGTTGATGGGATAGTATACTTAATTTACATCAGAGGGAGGGGGAGAGACAGAGAGACTCCCCCCCCCTTTCCCTGGCATTTCAAGTCTCCATTCCAGGTGTCCCCTCCTCTGTCAAGGTCCACACCAGAGTTTGGAAACTTGGGTACAGGATTTAAAAAGTGCCTAATAGAAGGAACAAAGGCCCAGGCACTAGCTTCTTTCAAAATTCTCCAACATGTATCTATAGCTGATCTACATCTAAAAAATAAGGGGGTGTTGTTTTGGTATCTGTGCTTTTAAGACCACACACCAGATGGGATTTCAAGCATTCTTTTCATAAATATAAAAGTGAGAAAATCTGGAACTTATGGCATGAGGCTCTGGATCCCTGCGAAAATCTTTTCGTATTAAGAGCCAAGGTCTGCTTTGTTATTTGACAATCTGAAGAGCTGATGGGTCACACCTGGCATGCAGGCCTTACGCTGAGTGCCTCCAGGATGGTGCACTCAGACTAATGGTATAGGAGGCTGGTAGCTGTTGAGTCAGGCCACTAGCCTATGCAACCCAGTACTGTCCATTCCAAACAGTGGTAGTCCTCCAAGATCCTTTTTAAAAAATCCAGTGATCCCAAGTATAAAATCTGGGACCTCCTGCATGCAAAGCATGTGCTCTGCCATGGAATAGTAGTCTAGATAGGATCCAGGAAGGGGGGGGGAGTTCAAAAATTCATCACAAGGTGTCTGTTCACATGCAAATCAAACGTACCTACATGTATGATTCGATTTTTCCAGAGTGGCCTACCTTAAGAACACTGGTCAAAAAAACAGATGAGCCCATAAGTACAAAGATCATGAGTCCTGTCACCCTCTGCTCCCGGATGCCAAGGAACTTGGGCTGTTCTCCTGGAGCAGAGCATTCTGACTCCAGCTTTAAACTGTTCACGTGAGAGATGGAGAGGACAGTGGCAGCAACAAACCAGGGCAGTCCCATTAGCGAGCAGACGCCAAGCATGAGAGCGACCATCAGCAAGTCGAGGTGGTAGCCACAGCCTTTCTGTTTTAAAAAAAGAAAGACAATGATATCATCTGGATGGAAGCGATATTATCTGGTTGCAGCATTCATCGGTATTGGAGACAGAAGGCATTCCTAATAAAACAGCCATGTTAACAATGCTTGTGAGAAATGAAGGCCTTAAAACTATTAGGCAAGTATTAGGCAATAGCTGGTTCTCTTATTTCTCCAGTGCTATAATGAATCTGTTTGTGTTGGATTCGAGGCCTTGCCACATTCTTGCATGAACAATACATTCTCTCTTCATGCCACTGATCCCCTGAGGGAGGGTGTAGGAATGTTGTATCCAGAGTTCCCTTGCTTTCCAGGGCTGTCCCATGCATTTTAATAGAGAAATTTAAATTCCTGCAGACTGTGTTGAAGCCCTGAAAATGCAAACTACACTGTAATCCAGGTATCTGATGCTAGGCCTCTTGAATACTGTGATTCACTGCTCACAGCAGCTGCACTGATGGCTGCTGCTCCACAAATATTAATTCTGGGGCAGGGCAACACCACAACTTTAAACATCAACACAAAGACCCCAGGAATTACTAGGCGCAAGAGAGAACAGGACACCTCTACCTTTACCTCGCCCAAAAGTAGTGTTAAATTTGACCTAGAAAAGTAGATGGGGGAGGATGATAATTTTTGTTTTCCGTCTTTTCAACTTCCGCACATTCCTCAGCCTTACTGAGGCCGATTTTTTTGTTCCAACTTTTATCATACTCTTCCTCCAAGCGTGGCATACAGAGTCCCCTCCCACTGTTGTAAACCTTGCAAAAATTCTGTGAGGTGTGTGTGTGGGGGGAGAGACTGGCTCAAGGTCATCCAATGAGGTTCATGACTGAATGGGAATCCGAATAAGGGTTTCCCAGATGCTCGTCTGACAGTCTAGCCACAACACCACACTAGCTCTCTATTGCTCTGTCGGGTTTCATGCCTTTCTCCATTTGTTTGCTATACTGCCGTGTATATTGCAACAGTGTTATGGTGATTTTCACTCTAAGGGTGAAATAGATAAAATACAGGAGGCACTGAAAAAAATGCTATATTTCATAATTTTACACTCAATTTTTGTTGTTCTATCCCTACAATGCCTGAGTGAAATGTTTAATATTTAATAACATTTTTAATTTTAATATATTTAATAAAGAGGGGCAGAGCAACCCCGACACCTGTATTTTTATCACTTCTGTTAGACTAGTAAGGCATTTTTATTTTATTTTATTTTGCTTGGACTAAGGGTAAGACCTGTGCAGAAGAGGGAACTTTGGCAGGGGTCACATCACACATGGGTGGGAAGGCCACACTTGCTGAAGTTCCTTCCTCTACAGAAACAGAGGAATAGCCCCCATTGCTAACTTATCTCATGACACCCAACAAACTGTAATGATCAGTGTCAGACGAGGATCTTGGAGGCACTGTTTTGAATCCCCATCCTGCCAACGGAAGCTCACTCAGTAGTCTTGGGCCAGCTGGTTTCTCTCAGCCTAACATACTTCAGGGTTGTTGTTATGATGATGAAATGGAGGACAAAAGAATGACATTGTGTGCTACTTCGGGTCCCCAACCAGCTTTTCTGCTGGTGAAAGAAGGATGGCGGAGTCCTACTTGAATACCAAAAAGGCTAAACTGGGGGTCACAGGACCTGCATGGGGAAGCACCATCTTGGATGGGGGCTGATATAAGAGGGGAATTGGGTAAGACTGTACTGAAATGGTATCTGGATATCACCCCATGTGCTTCATCCCCAGCATCGTAACAGCGGAGGGGCAATGGTGAAGAATGGGGTAGAAGATGTGTGACATTCAGACAACGGTTCTGGGCAGAAGCGAATGTCAAACAGAATGTGCAAGCCATGCATTTTGGAACATCTCCCCTTAAGCTCACTGAAACCAAAAGGGGCAGAAATGGCTCTCTCAGTGCAAGTGCAACTCTTTAGAGCTGTGGGTGAAGTGAAGCCAGAGAGACCTTTTTACCTCCTGACACTCTGGGGAAAGTATTTTTATGACTCCATAGATCTCTCTACAGAGATGGGGAGTTGCCTCCCCCCCACTCCTATCCGCACAGAAGCCTGAGCAAACCGACATATGGGAGGCAAAGGAAGCAAGGCAACAGGTGATGATGCTACATCAGACCCCAGCAGAAAATGAATATGCAGTAAGGCAAGAGGGCAGCCAGGAAGACCATCTGACACCCACATGCCACTGTGTGTGTGGGGGGGAGAATACATTCCAAAACTTGGCAGCAATTCCCTGCATCTGTCAAGTGGAACCACACAAAACACTATGGATTGACACGAGCAGCCAGACTGACAAAGAGGGCAAAAAAAAAAACCCCCTCCAAAAACAACAACAAAAGAGAGAACACAGAAAATATTCAAAGCAACCAAGAAGTCACAAATGGCTGCAAATGCATTTTTAATGTGATTTTTAAGACTGCGTTACTGTTTACCAAAGAGGCTCGGAAATCTGTGCATACATGCAGACAAGCTTGTCCCCGGAATCAGTTCCAACATTTCTATCGGAGAAGTGATGAACCCTGCTTTATTTTTCCATCTGTAAGTGTTACTGGAAAAAAAATGTGTGGCTTGGGACCCAACCATTCCATCTGAAGCCTCACTTGTACAGTTTCCCATTCTTCACAATAGGAGCAGAAGAGGGGAAATAATCTGAAATGGACAAAGGCGGAACTGACAGAAACTTTGGCCACGATGCAGAGGCCAAGATGGGCAGAAACAAGTGACAAGAGAATATGCCCCTCCTTAAAAGTAATACGTTGAGCAGTGCCGTCCTAAGCAGAGTTACAGCTTTCTAAGTTGATGGACTTAGAAGGGTATAACTCTGCTCAGAACTGTGCTGTTAACCAAAGCTCCCACTGGAATCAATGTTGTATTAGACTTTCAGGGGCCACTCAACTTCTGTACTGCTACTGTGGCCAGAACTTTCACAGGTAAGAGCCAACTGCATCAAATGTATCTGCCTAACCCAACATTGTGGACATTTTTTGTGACACGGTCTTAGACACTCCCAGTATGTCAACCTTTGGGTACACAGGAAATTTTTAAGACATGTTTGTCTGCTAATAGGATCATGAATCTACTCATGGATTCAGCAGAGATTTGCTAAAGACATCTACTTTATACTCAGACTCCAAGAGTTTATTCCTTGTGCAAGGACCTTGTTTGGGTTGTGTGATCTTTCTGTTTTTCCCATTCCTGAAGCCAGAAGGAGCTTTATGTGGGGCAGCCTGGGCTATTTCCCCAGGCCCTGCACTGGAGAGGGGGGCAGCAGGTAGTGGGGGTGATACACTATGACCTATGGAAGAATCCATTAAGTACATCACTCTGTGCACGGAAAGGAAAAATCTGGTAATGGTTTTCATTTATTGAAATTTTCTCTGATAGCAAAACATTCTGGCAAGTAGTTCTGAGCTATTCCACTCCCACTCATAATTCTTAAAAGTTATACCCACAGGTGATCACTCTAGCTAGTGCTATTCATCCGCCACAATTGTCATTTTTCAAAAATGATGCACACACATCACCACTCTAGCTAATATTAGGTTATAGTCTACCTAGCTGAGGTCAGCCAGAAGCAATGAAATAGAGTCGTCTAAGTAGGGCAGAAAAAAATGGGGGGGAGGCAGAGAAGAAATTCCATGAAACTTTACGAAAAGCTACTATGTTCTTCAAAAGTAAGCAGCAGTGCTGGCAGCAGCCGAACAGTTGGCTGAAACCACCAGCAGCAGTAACTCCTAGGCCACCGCAGAAACAGAGGGAGAAGAAGGACCATCAAGTTGCAAACTACATTGCATTTCTGAAGGGACATGCCTTGTGAAAATTAGTAGCTTTATTTTTGCTCTGAGTGGGAATAAAGAGGATGTGAGGATTCCATCCTTCTTTTGCCCAGGGCCCCTGAATCACGAAGACTGCCTTTGACCCCACAGTCCTTTCCGACAACCAGAAAATTTATTAATGGTGCTGCAGGTAGGGTTGCCAGATCCAGGCTGAGAAGTACCTGGAGATTTTGGGATGGAGCCTGAGAAGGGTGGGACTCGAGGAGGGGAGTGACTGCAGTGAGGTATAATGTCACAGAGTCCACCTTCCAGAGTGGCCATTTTCTCCAGTTGCCTGGAGATCAGTTGTAATCCCAGATGATCTCTGGCCGCCACCTGGAGGCTGGCACCCCTAGTTGCAGGACTTGTATGGAGTAACAGCTGCCAGGTCGGGAAGCTACAGTAAGGGAGGAGGGAGAGGACAAATCACTGCCTTCTTCCTCTTTTGTCAGCCGAGCTCTGCACAGTGTCCTCTTTCCTCTCCACACTGCAGCCTCCTATTTCATATGGCTATGAATCCGCACAGGTCCCACAGCCCTGGGAATGAACTTTCTCAGGGTTGGGAAGGATTGCTGTGAGGAGAAGAAACCCAGGAAGGCTGACAGCACATTCTACTAACGAACTGCAGGATCCAACCCATTGTCTGTGTTCTAACGTAACCTATCCTAGGCAGGGGTCGTTTCGTAGAAAAAGAGCTAGGGGAACTCATTAGCATAACTCATTAGCATATGCCACACCCCCTGACATCAGGGGCCCGGCGGTGGACCTGCAAGGCCGGCGGGAGTGTGAGGAAGCCCCGCCAAGGCTCTCCCTGGCCCCAGGCAGGCAGGGGTGGGGAGAGGCGGGGAGGAAGCAACTTACCCTCCCTCTTCTCCTGCCTCCTCCTGGCTGAATGAGGGCCGGAAGCAGGGCGGCCGGAAGCAGGGGGCAGGGCTTCGTCATGTGCCCCGCCCCCCACACCTCACCCGGGGGAACTGTGTTCCTCCACGATCCCCCCCGAAATGACCTCTGATCCTAGGCATTGAGGGTGGGTGAACAAGAGTTATGCAGAAAATGAAATGCATGACTAAAATTACTTCCCCCCCCCCCCGGGCAACACTGGCCAATAACAAAAATGGTGTCCTAGGCAAATTCATTTCAGCAGTTGAGTATGTACTTAACATTAAAATGGGTATCACCTTGGGTTTCTAGATCGCTACTTTTGTTTTGCATTTTCAAGGGCCTGCCAGCATGTTTTGGTGCATATACAGCACTCCTGCATGAAGAATCTTCTTTTTTCACTTCAATAAGGGGCTAGTTATGTTGCACACATCAAATTGTTTCCACTCACAGTGAACACTTGGGTTGGGGAAAGTGTGTCAATGTGTATCAGAAGAGGTATTGAAGAAAACTGTTGACCAATTCCGCAAAAGCAGTTGTTCCGCCCTAGGTCTCCCCTTTCCCCTGGATGTACTGATAAATTTCCCACTATTTGCTGCATGGCCGCATTTTGACCCACATCCCCCCCCCCCCATTTTCCTCTTGTTTTCTATGTCTTCTTGTTTTTATTTTTGAGGACCAAGAAGATGTGGGGGAAATCAGGGGGAGATGTGGGTCAAAATGCAGCCATGCAGCAAATAGTGGGAAATTGAGCAGTACAACTGGGGGGGGGGGAATGGGAGACTGAGGGCAGAACAACTGTTTTTGGGGAATAGGTCATTGATTTTGCGAGTTGACTAGCTTACCTTTAGCTTGTGCTCTTTTCTATTTATTATAACAGCTGTAATCTGCTGGTCCATAAATATAAGAATTGTACAAAGCAGAGCTGGAATTCCAGCAGCTAGCACAGTCCACCAAGGATTGGGCCCCAATGGTGTGACAAACCAGCCGCGATCATCTCTGGTGGGCTAGGAGAACAAAAGCAATGATGAATAAGAGAAGGTCATTAAACCAAAATTGCACAGAACATCAGTAGAGGCCTGTGAGACAATCTAACAAGCATATATTCCCTCTAACACAGACAAGATTACAAGTTAAAAGCACAATACATTGTGTAGTAAGTCACACTTATTGTATATCTTTCTATGAGACGTTGCTAAATTTTCTCTGAAATCCTTTGCACAAACATCCAGTTCTGCCACATGATGGCTTGATGGTCTGAGATTGGGGGGGGGGGGGAATAATGGGAAAAGGCACTGAGAAGGGGGGGAATAATGCACATAATAAACCTATTCATTTATATCCCGCATTCATTGCCAATTTTTGTTCTTGAGGTGGCTTCAAATAAAACCCAAAATAACAATAACCAAGTAAAACCATATAACTCATTATATAAAACAACCAGGAAGGCTCATGAACGTAAATAACCCTCAGCAGAAATACTTTTTAAAAAAGTAATGTAATAATAATAATGATAATAATGATAATGATAATAATGATAATGATAATAATAATGATGATGATGATAATAATAATAAAAATAAAAAATTGGATTTATACCCCACCCTTCACTACCCAAAGGAGTCTCAGAGCAGCTTACAAACTCCTTTCCCTTCCTCTCCCCACAACAGACACCCTGTGAGGTAGGTGAAAGAGAAATTAAATAAAAGTAGGTAGCAACATATCTTAAAATAGTAATGTGTTAATCGACTGGGCCCAGCAGCCTCACTGAAAACAGATAGTATAAACAAAGGTGGAAATAATCTACACATGTAATATAACAGTCAATTAACCTAGGGAAAACAGAAATCTTTTAACCTGGTGCTGAGAACTCAGAGGGCTCAGCATCAGACAACTGAGTGCAGAAAGCCTTTCCATATCAAGTAGCTCATCATTAGTCTACACATGATATCTTTTTCTACAGTGGTTCCTAGTTCAGCTTAATCTTTCTGAATCCTCTTTCTACATAAATTGTGATCTGCATATCAGATATGCTTGTCTCGCTGACATGTTGATTTGTTTCAGAAAGGAATAACTTTTAGTCATTCAAAACTAGTACAATCGGATGCAGAATTACCTTAAAAGCATTGGGAACCTGAAGCTTTGGCGATGGAATCCCAAGGGCATAGTCAACTAAAACCATGGACAGGATGGTGAGAAAGACAGCAAAGTCACTGACTATGGACCGTACCTGGAAATATGAAGCCTGTTGTCAGTGACAAGAAGACACATACTTTAAACAGAACATCCTAACCTACTACTGAGGAGAGATCTGCAAGTACACCCCCCAGACTGAAACATGAGCACAAGCCTATGGCATACAGACCCTGCAACCAGTACTAGGAACCCACATGTCCTTATGGAACCTCTATTTGGGAAGAGAGAGAAAAAAAGAGTAAGAAAACAGTCCCTGCCAATGCTCCCTCTAAGCTGTGGCGTCTGGTGAGCAACAATTCTACTTTGTGAGCCACTGGCATTAAAGTTGTGAGCAAACAATTTGACTACTGCATAAATTAGTTTGCTCTGGACCCATCCTTCCTGAGCTAAGACAAAAATGTGTGAGCTGGAGGCTAAAGAACTGTGAGCTAGTTCACACTAACTCAGCTTAGAGGGAACACTGGACTCCCTGCTCATCTGTTTAGAGGAGAAAAGTAGAAGGGAAATCTACAAGCGCTGCTTGAGCTGTGGATGACAGACATTTTGAAGCAAGCATTAAAGGGTGGGGCACCTGAAAGGTGTCTGGAGATGTGCATGCTAATGGCCATGAGCCAGCAGTGGACTCCCCGCTGATCAGAGATGCTTGGCTCACCCGCTCCTAGGAAATGGGAGACTGTGACAGGGGCATGTGGGAAGAGCTTTCCTTTCCTGTTATGACGGGTGCCATGGGTAAGACTCTCAGACAGCCACACTCATATAAGAGATCCCATATCTGGGAAACCGGAGATGTTCCTGAAGCCCCTGCAATGTCACAGAGGCCTCCGGGACACCCTCCCGTTTCCTGGTCAGGGAAACAGTGGAGAGAGCAGAACAGTACCTCTCCAACTCCTTTCTGTCCTGACTTGCTGATTTATTATTTGTATTTATAGCCCACCCATCTGGCGAGTGGGCTCAGGGCAAGTAGCGTCATGTCAGTAATACAATAAATACAATTTAAAAATGTAAAACACAATATAGACATTAAAAGCAACAGACAGATACATAGATAAAGTGGGGAGGGGGGGCAGAGGGAGTGGCCCGGCAGTGCACTGGACAGCATTTGTCGAAGGCCCTCTGAAAACTGAAGCTGGTCTTGTTTTGAAGAAGTAGCAGTGCAGAACTACAATTTAAACAGGCGTCTAGGCTTACAGAACTAGTGCCCTTAACACAGTTCTCTGTAGGGCTGGCAGCCAATGGGAGAGGGAGCGGGAGGTGACGGCAAAATGTCACTTCAGCATAAACCTGGAAGTGATGTTACAGTGTTGGCATGACACTATAGGATCTAAAACCATAGCGTTTTCAGGAGAGCAACATGCCAAACCGGTTGACTCACTTCCAGGTTCGCACTGGAAGTGGGGTTGCACCATTAGCATGACAGGTCTCCCCCCCCCCCATTTTCCTCTGCTGCCGTTCTGAACAGCAGTGGGGCAGCACACAGATGCTGGGAGGTCTCAAGCCACAGCAAGAGACATGATAAGACTAGTTGTCCATACTGAATAGCAGCACATAACCATGGCTGATACATTTAAAACTGACACGTCAGTTAAGACGCTTTCACGTATGCTAAACAATGCAATTTTAATCCACTCCAGTGACCGTTCACAAGTGGATTTTGCCATTTCACACAGTAAAATCCAGTTGTAAAGTGCACTAGAAGTGGATTAAAAGTGCCTTATGCAGTGTGTGTGAAAGTACCCATAAGTTTTTTTCTTTAAAATGTGTTAACATTTTATTGAAAGATAAATATGAAATACAAAGGCTTAAGAATGTAACAATAACTGGTATAACAATTACAAAATTGAGTCCTAACTACTGTCAATGGAGCAGAAGTATACTTGATAATATAGAGGGGAAGGGGGAAAATAAGAGAAAGGAAGAGGAAAACAAATAAATCAGGAGAGAAGAGAAAGAGAAACTAAGCTACATGATTCTTATATTGTCACCATAAATGTAGTTGATTCATTATACTAAGTATTTCATCTTGTGTTGTTAAGTAGTCTAATATTGGGAGCCAAGTAGCAGAAAAGTTAGTAAGACTTGAAGCAGAGGCTAGTGGAGAGGTGTTAAGTGTTATTTTAGCCATGATGTAAAAGTTCCAGAATTTCTTGTGCCAGAGAGACAGATTTGGGGGATGTGGGTTTCTTTAAAATTTAATATGTCTTTTCAGCTGGATGAATGGGGCACAGTGACACCTCGGTGCTGCTGTATATTGTGAGCTACACAAGGTGGTGCTGCCGTATATTGTGAGCTACACAAGGCGGTGTGGTTTTAAAGCATTAGAAAACAGCGCCTTTGAGAAATGAGCTTTGCGGCAGAGTAACAAAACTCAGGCAGGTGCTGAGCGGGAGTTATATGTGCACAGCACACAGAGTGGGTGAAATGCATGGGCGGCCTTGCCATGGAAGGCCTTTCCACTTCAGCAGGCAGAAGGGAACACATTTTGTTTTCATCTCTGTCAGCCATTTAAAATGAGCGGAGGTTCACAGTGGGGAGGCACCATTTGGACTTTCGGTTTCAAGTGCAAAAATGTCTAAGGAATTGTTAATTTGTATTGTGACAGAGTTCTTTCTTTTTACACATTAGGATCCAATCGTAACACACATTGCCGTTCCTGATTCAACACACACTGCTTGAATATTTTGCTCTAGGCAGGAAAGAAGCAGTAGCAGACGCGTTATCTCCTCTCTCAGGAGAACCTCCGCCTCACGAATAGCAATGCATTGGGTTGAATCCTAGGAAGCGACTCCATTAAACACTAAGTTTTCTTAAGGCACAAAAGGGGCTGATCTAGCGGCACAAAAGACTCTTCTGCTGGATGAAAGCCCTGCAGTTAGCAGAGTGGAGCTGTAGGATCCAAGCCATTATTCATAAATGGCAAAAAAAGAGAAATATTACAAAACATAATTTTGACTCCACTAATGCCAATATTGTTAAATTCTTTATTATCTGTATGCCAATTTGCTGCTGTTTACATGTCTTACCAAATGTGTTATTCCAATCTTAGATGTGTTTATTGCTCACTTACTTATGCATCTTGACTCTAATTAGCTCTTCCTGGCAACTAGGCCCCTCTACCTGGATGTAATATTTCAGGAAATCTCTGTCTGTATATTTGAAGAAGTGTGCATCTACATCTGCTCTCACATGTACCCAGGTTTGAGCTTGGTTGATCTTGGGGGTGCTGCTAGAGTCAGGCTTCATTCTCACATCTGTTTGTTAGCTCTCATACTTGTGTGTTAATTTGCTGCCATTCTTCGACTTGATCCAATCTCAGCTTCACATGCCTCTGACTGGTCCTTCCTGATGCTTTCGCACACACACACACCCGATCTTCCTGTATGTAAGGCTTGAATAAATGTTGTTTCAATTTGTCTGAGGAAGTGTGCTTGCACACGAAAGCTTACACCTTAAATAAAACTTGGTTGGTCTTAAAGGCGCCACTGGATTCAAACTTTGTTCTGCTGCTACAGACCAACATGGCTACCCCACCTGAATAATAGCTTAGTTATTGATATTGAGAGCAACAGACAATATCCTGTGTTGGCAACAAGATTCATATTTAAAAAATATATATCCAGGTTACCTTGGTTGGGAAATAGCGACTGGTCTTGAACTGCTTCAGTGTGGATGACATTGTAACTGTAGAAAAGAATAAGATGACTGACCAGAAGAGAACATCTGGGACATAAGGACCTTCGTGTCCACAGGCTCGTCCTATAAATTTCCCTTGATACCACCTACATTGCTAACATGGAAAGTAAAGACATGTTTTATATTCCTATGACTGAAAATAGTGATAGATAAACAAGACTGGATCAATTGTTTCATTGGTCATTATTGACATTCACTTTAAATATCCAAATCTACCTTAATAGATTTTTATCTCACCATCCTTCAAGGAACTCTTCCTTCCCTAATTTATCCTCACAACAGCACTGTGAGGCATTACACTTATGGAAAATGGAGGTTCCAAGGACCCCATTGAGAAGGGTGAGGCCTGAACCCACATCTCCCAGATCCCAGTCTAATACTGTAACCACTATACACACTGTTCATTCCATACATGTTATAGGTACACATATAAGGGAGAAATCCTCAGCAGAAAAAAGTCCTGTGTTATTCCATCGAGTTCACATGCAGGAAAGTGTCCTTAGGACTGTAGCTTAAACTGTTTAACATGTACAGTTTTTTTTTTAAAAAAACCATAATCTGTGGATGTGACAAACATGTTTTGAAACATGTGCACCATATGGACTGTATGTTTCCATGTACCTCTCTCTCTGTGTTTCCATATACTTTTATCGCTTGATGTCTGTTTCAAAATGTTAATACATGATCTGTACACATTACTTGTGGCTATTATACATGAAGATAAAATTGCTCACTAAGATCAGTGAAAATTGGTGGGTTGGATCCTGCAGATCTATCATGCTAATGCTGGAATTTTCCTCTGGTGCAAGAGGCTCTGTGGCTGACGGAAATGTTTCTTGCGTTACAGAAGCTTCCTTGTCCCCAAGGAAAGCAATACCATTAGCAGAACAGATCTGAGAAATCTTTTATTAGTTCATGCCATATAAGATAAAGGTTCCCCTTGCCTGAAGGTTAGTCAAATTTAACTCTAGGGGGCGGTGCTCATCTCCGTTTCCAAGCCGTTTCTACTTGCAATTTCTTGCTTTCGAACTGCTAGGTTGGCAGGAGCTGGAGCCAGAGATGGGAGCTCACTCCATCACGCGGCATATACAAGCATATACAAGCAATTAAAAACCATTTAAATTTAGTTTAGGATGCACACTAAGGTCTTTCTCAGCCATAGCCTTCCTCAGCCATCACTAACTTACACTTGCTCATGCAAGACAGTGACGCTTTGTCACATGTGGATATGAAAGAACTATTACAGCAGAATTTAAAAAGCAGATCCTTAAGCACAACCACTCAGAACCTCAGAATTACGGTTCTAGTCTTCTTCTTGTGCAAGACTATTTTGGATCGTAACTACCAATGCATCATATAAAGATGGTCAAACTCATACAGCAGAAACAAATCTACCAAGATTACCACAAAATGCACACATTTTCTCTAAATGGAGCTTACTTATATTGAATAGTGTTGAATATTTGACTGCGTTCTTCTCCCCTCAGTGTGTGAACAACATGCATGTATCCAACCATGTAGTTCCTCCTGTTACCATTTGTGGAAAAGGGACAAGTGATTTCCGCCAATTCCGCTCCCCACTGCAGATCTCAACCCTCCCCCCCAGTCTGCCTCC